CTACAACGAATGAGGCTTGCCAGTTGCCAGGCCGGGGGATCTGTACGATATTTTACCCAACCCAGTCCCCTTACAGCTCAGCACAGAACTGCAGCCGGAGCGGAGCTGCCCTGTCCAGGCTGCCCAGAGCCTTCAGTCCAGCTGGGCAGTGCCCTGCCCGAGGGGGCTAAGCCCCCTCTGCTTTGCCACCCCCTTTCCCCTGCAACCAGCTTACCCCCTGCCTCAGGCTGGGCTGCTGCTGGGACCCTCCCTCGAACCAGTCCCGGGAGTGGGCAGTCGCTGCCCGGCTGGGACTTGCCTGGGGATGCCCTGATCCAGTCCAGCCTGTGGCAGAGCCCACGGGCGGCGGAAAGTCAACCCCAGCGTGAGGGGAGGTGGCAGCTCCAGCCCAGCAATGGGGCCTGGCCCATCCCTACCAGGCCCAGGGCACCGTGCTGCCGCCTAGCCCAGCACTTCCCCCCACCTCCGCCCCGTCCGGGACTGTGGGAGCTGCCCAGCTGCCCCTGGGGCGGGGCAACAGCCTGCGCTGAGCAGCCACCGCATGGCCCTGCTGAGGAGGTGAGTGGGCCTCAAATTCAGGGGTGCACCTTAGAGGAAACACTGTTCACCATCCCTGCTCTGTCTCCCAGGCCCCAATCTCCCAGTCCCCTGCCCCGCAGCCCCATCCAGCCCAGTCCCCCAGCCTCCTGCCCCACCTCCCAGCTGCAATAGCCCCATTCCCCCTGCTCCGCCTCCCAGCCCCTATCCCCTGCTCTGCCTCCTAGGCCCCAGTCTTCAGGCCTCCACTTTGCCTGCTCCACCTCTCAGGCCCCAATCTCCCGCTCCCTGCCTCATTGGACCCAACCCCGCATACGGTGCCTCCCAGCCCTATCAGCCCCAGCCCCCCACTCCACCTCACAGCCCCAATGCTCCAGTCCCGTACCCCACCCCCCAGCTCCATTGGCCCTAACCCCATAGCCTGTCTGCTTCAATCCTCTGCCCCTGCCACCTCCAGCCAGCTGTGCCACTCAGTCTGTCTGCTCCACCACCAGCCTCCCTACCCTCCTTCTGCTGCCCCACAGCTCCTACCCCCACAGCCCCACCCCATGGAGTGACTGTTCCTCCTCCCCCGTAGGGGATGGAGAGTGCAGGTGCTTGGGCTGCACAGGGCACCAAAAATCTTAAGGATGGCCCTGAAGGGAAACAATGGCACAAATGGGCCACTGGCCAGGAGGCACAACATAAAGAGAAGAGTCAGACCCCAGGCTCAGAGTGGGGCAGAAATCAGAGTGGAGGTGAGGTGAATCCTTATGCTAGATCCTTCCTAAGCTCTCTCTGTCCTTCTATCCCATCTCCTCCACCTCCAGCTCAGCACTTCTTAGGCTGGCTGCCCCATAGGGATGTTAAATTTAGATTAACTGGCTAATCAAATAGTCGAGGCAATTTGCATCGACTATTCGATTAGTCAATAAGGGTACCTCCGCCTTTGAAGAGCAGCAACAGCCCGGGAGCTGTTGCTACACTTGAAAGGCAAAAGTGCTGTGGGGAGCCCGGGGCCAGCAGGAAACTCAAACCGTCCCCCACTGGCCTTGTGCTCCTCACGGTGTTTCAAAGCAGCAGCTCTGAGTGGAGCCTAGGTTCAGCTGGGGACTCAGAATCCCCAGCTGACCCCGGGCTCCACGCAGCACTGCTGCTTTGAAACGCCGCATGCAGCCTGGGGCCAGCTTGGAGTCTGGTGTTTCAAAGCAACAGACCCTGGGCTCCATGTGGTGCTGCCGCTTTGAAGCACCCCCATATATTTCTCCCCCTTACTGCCTCTTTCTGATAGAGGCAGCGGGGGAAATAAGGAGGGAGTGACTAGATGACTAGCGTGTCAACTATCCAGTAAGTATTTGCTTATCGGATAATCAACTAGCTGTTCATATCCCTACTACTCCAGCAGGCCCTCTCTTGGAGCCCAGTCTGCCCTGGCAACCCTAAGTAGGAGGAGGAACAACAGAGCAAAGGATTGAATGGCAAGTTCACCAAGGTGTGCTTTACATAATGCCAGCTTTGTAAGTCCTATATGAGGAGCAGGCAGGCAGCCCATCTTCCCTTCCCCACCTGTTTACACTGTCAGATCACAGCACAGACAGGGAAGGGGAAGGGCCATCGAGCAGGGTTGGTTCCCAAGAGAGGACGTACCAGCAACAATTGACCAAGCAAGTCTCACCATTCCTCAGACACCCACTGGCTCCTTAGCAGGCCCAGTGCCCACTCCAAAGCAGTGACCCACCTCTCCCGGAGATGCTGCCAAAGCCCTTTTCTTCCCCCCTTGTGCAAAATAGAAGTCATGCCAAGTCATGGAGGCAACCTTTGGGAAAGGAGATGAGCCTCAGAAAGAGAGGCCACGCCAACCCTCCAGCTAATGGTGGCCCATCAAGAACTTGCTATGGGCAACAAGTTTCCACACTAGCGGAAACATGACTGCCAACAGCTGGAGGCAGCCACGTGTCCAAGTCTCGGGCAAGGAGAGAGTTAAAATTCCAACTTCTGCCTGTAATCCAGGAGGAAGCAGCAGCAGCAGCAGCAGCCTGAAATCCAGCCCATTCCCCAGGAGATCTCCAGCCATCCATTCCTGATAAAACCAGGATAGGTCACTGCCTATCCACTAATCTAGCAAAGGAATTTGTACTGCTAAAGAGTGGCCCAGGGAGGCCTCGGGGAAAGGCATTATTAATGACCTGTGCTGTATGAAGGTCTCTAGGGTGACAGTGAGAGAGCAGAAGCACTTTGTCAGGTGGGAGAGAAAGAGGGAGCCATGAATCTGAGAAAGGAAGGAATACAGCAAGTTGAATTTACTGCCAGTCAGCCAAAACTCCTTCAGGAGGCCAGCTCCTTCCTCCCATGGCTAGTTCTCTCTCTTCTAGCCTTGCTAAATGAATGACTGGGCTTAAAGAAAGCTACTAAGCAGAGAAGCAATGTAGTATCAGCACCAGCAGGAAACAGATATTGGAAGCTTCCCTGGGGAGCCTTTAGACCTAGCCACAACAAGATCAGAACTGTGCCAAGCACAGCCCTTCAGCGTGGCTGCTTTCACCTCCTGAGAGGCCTTTTGCCTTGTGAGCACGGCTGATTTCAGGCAGAGCTCTGGTCTCTGCACTTGGTTTCTAGCCATATTCCTGATAATGATTTCCATCCATGTACAGAATAAATTTTTATGTGCACTGAGGCAGGTGTGGATGTGCACCACCAGTAGAAACACATGCTGCCAGCTGTGGGCGGCATTTGAATCTCTCCTGGGTGGCTGCCCAACTGCTCAGCTTACAGGAAACACTGGTTTCCAGTACAGTTTTCCAGACACTGGTTCCCCTGACTCCTACCAAACTACCAAAGGAGAACTTCAAAAATGCATCTGAAGCATGGACACAAGAAGGAAATTGCCTAAATTGTCATCCCAAAACCATTACTACATCTTCCCTGTGACGAGGCAGCACCTTGGAGTCCCGATCATGGAGCAACAAGGCCTCACTGTCTCTGGCACCACACAACACACAGAACAAAAAGATGGTCCTTAACCCAAAGAATTGACAGCCTGAGTCACATGGTTCCAAGCAATGCGTAGAGCCATACAACAGGGAAACAAAAAGCACGCAGTGGAGTGGGAAAGAGGATGAGAAGAGAACGAAGCGCTGTTACTTTTCTGGAGAGTGACCAGAATCTGTTTATTTGTACATTTCCTGCCTCCCATGACCATCCTCCCCCAAACCAAAAACCCTCTTGCTCTTCACATCATTTCCTCCGGTTTATAAATAAAACAACGGCAGCACTAGATTGTCAGGGGAAAAACAAATATTTGTGGTTCCAGTTCCCATCTGGTTTGTCAGCAATTAGGATCTCACAGAACCTTTCATTTGAAAGCCCCCTTCCCCTAGGAAGGTGAAGTGCAGTGTTATGAAAAGCAGGCAGCATTCCCAGGCGCTTGCTCCTGCCTGATTAGACATGGTATATTAAGGTAGGCTTTTCCGCAGCTGGATTAGTACAGAAGGCAAGTTCAGGCTGGCAGGAACCTTCTTACAGGTTTCAGCTTAAGGGAAGAAATTGCACGGATGAGTTTGAGGTCATTGGTGGGATGAGTTTAAGGTCTCAGTCCAACAAGACAGAACTGAAGAGAACTAAAAGCATCGTGCCCCATTTAGTGCAGCCAGTGGTATCTGCTCTGGAGACAAACCAAACCATCTCCATGCAGTATCCACATGTGGCAGGATCCAGCAATCTGAATCATTCCCACACACCCAGCCCAGTAGCTGAGCTGGGATGAAATCTACTCACCTCAAGGAGCCTATTGCCTAGAGATCTCAGTGCCTCTAAGTCAGGGGTGTCCAAACTTTTTTCAAAGAGGGCCAGATTTGATGAAGTGAACATGCGTGAGGGCCGACCATTTTGCCTGACATTCTTTGAACCATTAAAATTAAATGCAAATTAACTATTTTATGCAAAGTTTATTGCAAACAGCATACTTTTCATTTCATCACATGGATGACAAATCTAAACAGGTGTTAAATCACTCTGCCTTTCATATCTGAAGGCCAGATGAAAAAAAAAAATCCAGGAAGCTGAAATATGTGTCAGGAACATTGTAAAGTACATTACATATTATTGGTAATAAAGATTGTCTGTCAACTTTTAAGTTCAAAAAATATGAACAGGAACATAACACCAAGTATACATGTTGTGTCCAAATATATTTATAACTGATTTAGACCAACTGACATTAACTGAGATTTTACAATGTATTCATCTCAATACATATGGATTCGTTGGGGGCCATAAAAGATAGATATTGCCAAATTACCTGGGGGGGCCGTATTAAACCGGAACACGGGCCGCAATTGGCCCGTGGGCCGGACTTTGGACATGCCTGCTCTAAGTGGAGAATTTTGCTTTCCCCTTACGATCTGTTGACTAGTCACTGGCAGAACCTTCAGACCCTCTTCTCCCCCACTGCTCAAAAAGAAGAAGAAGAAAAAAGGAGGTCTTACCTAGATCTGTCCAGCCACAGCCTTTCTATGGGGCAGCAGGGCCGCACAAAAAGTCACCTCAGCTCTTCAGGAATCTAAGACACAAGTAAAGGGAAAGGTTAGCCTCGAGTTCAACACATGGCTCACTCCATGTCCCCTAGGCAGGGACGCTGCCTGGCTGCCTTCCCAGCACAGATTGCCCCATGCTTGTGGTTTTCAGTACTCCAGATCAAGATCAGTTTCATGCCTCCTCCCTCCAACTGCCCAGTAAGGGTGGGGTGGGGGGCTTCCCATCTGGCCAAGAGGAGCACATGGGAAGGACTAATCAAAGCCGGCGAGGCTGTCTCCATCCTCTTCACTTTGTACCAGAGCTTTCTAGTGTGGCAAGTTTCTCAGACACACAGCCAGCCTCTGCTTCTCTGCTCTGTCAAGTGTAAAGAGGGGCAAGTCTCTGCTCCCCTTCATCAAATCAACAGGGGAAGGAAAGGGAGGAGGTTGGGGGAACTCCAAGGCTAACTGAGCTTGTGCCTGATCATGTCTGCTTGTGACAGAGTGTCGTCACCACAGTGCGAGATGCTGCTCCCCGCATGAGCTAAGCGGGCCTGCGTAGCATCCCAGAGCTGCTGCTTCTCTCCCCACTGGGATTGGGGATTTCAACTCAGACCCCCAACTAGCCACCCAGAACAGCCTGATCAGCCCTAAACAGATGTAGGGCAAGGACATCCCAATGCTTGTGAGAGATACTGCAAGTCCTGGCACCCAGAGAGAGCATAGGCACAGCACAGGTAGCAGGAGAGCACACAGGCCCAATACACCATCCAAAACATCCCCCAATCCTTGGCTGAACTGGAGGCTCCAGGCTTAACTGGTTTACACCACCTAGGTGTCATTTGCCAAGCATGCCCAGGTGGCTCAGCCACCACCCATTAACTTGGGCTCCTTTCAGCTGAATTTATTCTCATCTGAAAGCAAAACTTTGCAGAAGTGTCTTATGGACACGATCTCTGTCAATCACTTCTTTGCCACACAGGTCACGCCCCAGAGTGGTTATCAGCTGGAGTTTCGCCTTTGGCATTCCTCCTCTGACTACCAACAGGGACACAAGGCATTACAAAAATCCACCATGTCACTCATTTTGTGTGTCTACAGCAGCTTTCAGAGGATCTCCAAGCACCACCCACATCTTCAATCCACCGGGGTGGGGGGAAGTGTTTGAAGGAGGAAAAAAGAGATATACAGAAAACATTTGAGCTACCCTGAAATACAGCCACATCTGGACTGAATGCAGCAGCTATAACAAATCCTCAGCAATTTGAGACTCAGTGGAGATACACCACCACAAGATATTTGAAAGTTCAGGGGAAACTAGGACTAGAATTACTGGATTTGAGGTTTAGCTTGAGGATCCTCCTCACTCTTAAAGTGCTATGGGATTTTTTTTAATCACGAGAGATGGGATGATTTCACATTTCATCCAAATGACACCACCTGTATAAAGAAAAGGAGAGCAGGCAAAGCCATGATGCGCCTGTGGTGTTAGCAATGGTGAGTGCATGAGGATAGATCAGTCACTGGTGTATTTACCACAGTGTCATCTAACCTGATCAGAGCTGGGGTCACAACGAAAGCCCTCCAGCAGTGCTACACACAAAGTTTTTAGAAAGAATCAGTATAAACAAACACCAAACAAGAGCGCATAGTGCTCCTGGTGATCTAAGACTGCCTTCAAGATCTCAGCCCCTGCTTAGCTTGAGAACTAACAGGATCCCAAAACAAGGTGGTACGGAAAAGGCTAAAATTGTGGGTTTTTAAGAATTGTTCTGTTGCACTAGGGTGGATATGTAAAATGCATTTTATTGTCAGGATTTATGCAGACCCAGCCAGCTAAACGTCTCCTCCCTGTCCCACTGGTATTATGGCTGGCAGAGTCTGAATATATTGGTTAACATGCAGCAGATATGCTATAGTGCAGTTTGATATCCTTCCTTTCCCTGCCTAATAATTTTTAACGCTATTTTTAGTGAGGCTGATTGGGATGACAAGCAGCATTTGACTGACAGCTCTTTAAGACAGAGCAGTTTGTAATTTGTACTTGACTAATATTTGCTAGAAATAATTGCACAGCAGGACGCGTGGATTTCAAGTTACAGTCTCAACTCAGAATCGCAGCACATACAAATAAGATTCCCTTCCCACCTCCACACTCCACTGCATTTGACAGGTCTATCTATGGAGGCTGCATCCCTTGGCTCTGTCTGATTCAGTTAAAGCCACAGTGAAGTTCTGGAAAGGGAATCTTCCTAGTTCCCCTTTTTTTAGCTGATGTGCAGTATCTTGTTTTAAAAGACAGTATTAGAGTTTCACTGTGTTGAGCAAAATGGTTGACTCGTCTGAACGTACTAAAAAAAATGGCTTGCGTTGATCAGTGCATCTGATCAGGTGAAATGCCACCAGCAAAGGAGATATTAAAAAAAAATCCATGCAAGCACAGAAGAAAAAGCATCTTAGGGAAAAGAGATGGACTATAGGTCTGCTTGGGAAGATACGCAAGGCAGTTACAATTCAGGCACAGGCACTGGACTGGGACTCTAAAGACCTGGTGTGAAGTCCTAGCCCCTTGATCCCTTCATCCTGGGTTCTATTCCCATCTCTCAGAGGGGAAGCTGTGTTAGTTTGCATCCACAAAAACAAGGAGTCGTCCTGTCCTGTGGCACTTTAAAGACTAGCAGATTAATTTGGACATCATCTTTGGTGGGTAAAAGCCCATCTGACAAAGTGGGGGTTTTGCCCATGAGAGCTTATACCGAAATAAATCTGTTCATCTTCAAGTGCACCAGGACTCCTTACTGTATTCCCATCTCTCCCACTGATCTGCTGCGTGACCTCTGGCAAGTTACTTCACAGCAGTGTCCCGCCCCACTCCCTTTGTCTCTTGTCTGGATTATTAGCTCTTTGGGGCACCAGCTGTCCATCACCAAAGTCCATACAGTGCCTCTCCGTGCTCCTGTGGTACACAGTATTACTAAGGGAGGGAGGCTGGCAAAGGATGGACAGAAAGAAACTAGAGGCAGTAACACCTCCCCCCAGCCCCAGCACGGCTACATGAGCAGATGACCCTTGCCTGCATTAGCTTTCTGTGGTCTCTTGCTCTTTGGTGTCAGCCACAGTAGGAAGTTCTCAGCAGAGCCCAGGCTAATTATTTTCAGGAGCTCACAGGAAGTGGAAATTAGGTGACCAGTGTTAGTGCCTCTGTACAAGGGGTGGGCACTAATTTTTGCCAGGGGGCTACTTCAAACATTTTTTAAGTAGCTCTGGGCCATCCAAGAAGGGGCGGGGCCTAAACAGGAAGGGGCGGGGCTACCCCACCCCCCAAACCACGATTGGTCGGGGGTGGGGGAGCCCCTTTGCCATCCCTTTCCACTAGGCACCCATGCCCTGGAAGAGGCTTGGCATGTTCCCCACCCCCAGGCCAATCAAGGTCTGGGGGCGGGGGAGCACGGGAACCCTCCTCCTGCTCTGCGAGGAGCATGTAGCTCTTTGAAGTGCCGCGGGCTCCTCGCAGGATGAGGGCAGGGCGAAGGAAGCTTCACATAGCTCCCCGGCCCTGATTGGCCTGGGGGCGGGGGAGCGCATGAAGCCTCCTCCACTCTCCTCCCCCCACCCTGCAAGCAGCGCACGGTGCTCCAAAGTGCCACGTGCTCCTGGCATGGTGGGAGGAGGCTTCATGCGCTCCCCTGCCCCCAAATCCTAATTGGCCTGGGGGCCGGGGAGCAGCAGGGCCTCTGCAGGCCGGATCCACCTGCTTGGTGGGCCAGATCCGGCCTTCAGAGGCCCTTTTGCCCACCTCTGCTCTATACCCTGGGTTAGATGGGAACCCAGAATTTCCCTCCCACTAGCGCTGCACTATCCACTCTTTACAGGTCAGGTTGGAAGTGTGGAAACAATTTTTGCACCATCCTGTCTGGGAATTTCAAGAAGTTATGGACTCTTCTCTTGGCTCAGGGGAAGCCTGTGTACAGGATATTGCTGCCTGCATTCCTAGGGTGCCAAGTGACAAAAGCCCATCCCAAGGTTTCAAAGCACTAGAAAGTTCCTTGCTTTTACAGAAGGGGAAACAGAGGCAGTAAAATGACTTGCCGAAGTTCATGCCCTACATCAGTGGCAGAGCTGGGCTCAGATCAGCACTCCAGGCCCTTGAATTCCAAACCCAGCACCTGCCCACCAGACCATGCCACAGGTGTAAGCTGATCCGTGCTGAAAGACCTCTAGTCTAATTAGAGACAGGTGATAGGAGGAACTGCACTGACAATGCACACAGGTCCCTAGCACCTTCCCCCAAAGACTCTTAAGCACTTCAATCTCTAATGGATTATTCACTACTATCAGGTTTAAGCACGAGCCCCATTTCCTCCAGAAATATACCAATGCACAGAGAGGTTAAGAGCAATGCTCCCTTTAATCTTTTCCATCCATGTGTGGAATAATTGTATGTGCACCAAGGCATGTGCAAATGTGCACCACCAATAGAAACCCAAAACCTAGCTGTAAGCACTCTGCTAATCAGCTGAGCAGCATATGAGTTTCTCCTGAGTGGCCATCCAAGTGCACAGCTGACAGGGAACACTGGTTAAGAGACTTGTCCAAGATAACAGCAAAGCAGTGATGGAAGCAAGATTAGAATGGGTGGTTGGCCAGCTCGTGTTTGTACTCCAACCAGCCAGCCTTGCTGACACCCTGCCTGGCATTAAGACATCAGAGCCTGCTTGGCCCAGTAGTGGCCGCTTACATCTTCTATTTAAGAGGCTGTTGGAGCGCAGGAGGCAAGCGAGATACCAAGTAGTGAAGGCATTTGTGATCCATAATATCTGCCTTTTCCTTGCAGCTTTGGAGCATTTTCCAGCAGCTAAGAGGAACGTTTCCCCGGTGTCCAGTGCCAGGTTTTCATCCCAGCTCTTTTTCCTCCATCCACTCCCCTCCGCCCACCCCAAGCTGTGGCACTGATTAAGACCAAACAGAGGGGAGGGAGCTGGAGGGGGAAGCTATGGATAAGCTGAGACAGGCAATTCCTGCCCTCAGGAGACAGAACAAGACAGACCTTAGCAAGTGGCCTCCCCTCCCCCCCCCAAAGCAATTAAAAACAAGGCACTCAGCTGCATAATGCAGCTTGGTTCAGCTCATGGTGCTTAGACAGCTTTTCCTCCCGCCCTCCCCTGGGCTTCATCCCTGGCAAATCTGGAAAGCTGTGGGGTTGTTAATTGAAGGAGCCATGGGGTGTGAAAAGAAAGCGTTGGCATATGGAGAGTAAAAATTAGCTGTCTGGGAACACCTCCAGCCCTGGCCAGCGCTTTTTCTCCTTCTGAGAAGCCAGAAGCCCCGGGGTGGCTGGCATTTTGGTTTATGCTCTGTAACCCATCCCCACATTTGTGCTACAGAGAGTTCACGCATGTGGCACAGAGCCTCCCGCTACAGAGATAGGGGCATGGAGCTAGTGCCTGGATGGTGCGCTTGCCTAGACAGTGCGCTCCCCTCAGACTGAGTTACGACAGGCTACGGAGCCATGGTTAGCCCTGGAATGGGGAAAAGATGGGGAAGGGGGGAAAAGTTCTTGGAAGTATCGTGTATTGTGGCCGTGCATAGGACCCCAAGTGATGACCCAGGAGCAGACAGACTGCAGGTGAATGCAGACACAGGGGAACCTGAAAATTCTGGGGTACGGCATGCTGATGACAACTGTCACTGGTGGGGCAAGACCCTTCTGCTCCAAAGCAGAGCTCTTGCCACCTGAACCCAGGGGAATCTCCACTAGTTGGCAGCAGAATGGGGCCTATGGCAGAGTCAAGAAAGCAGCAGTCTGTACTTACATGCAACAGCATGTATTTAGCACAAGAGTAAGAGCTTGGCTAGGTGCCCACAGGCCTTATTCTATAGGACCTGCTGGAGAGAGAATTTCCATCCCAAGTTGAGAGCCACCCTGCAGTAGGGTGACAAAAGGGAGAGTTTTATAGCAGTTTATATCGAGCCAGGATCTCCCGCCCTGCTAACCAGGGAGTGGGGAAGGGGAAGAGAACGAACCCAGTGACTTACGTCTCCCTTGGCAGCGCAACGCTTCCACGGCTGCAGCCCAAGGAAATCCAGCTGCATTGAAGCCAGCCTGTCTCCTTGAGAGAGACTCGGCCGCCCACCGCTGGGGCGTAGAGAGGCTCCTTGTACCCAAATATCTCAAGGCTAGTGTGCTATCAGAGTGTGGCTTTTACAGCCTTCCAGACTGGTGAGGTGGGGGAAGGAAAGCAATCTCCGTTCTAGGAGGGATAAGGAGAGAGACAGATGCCCAACCCACACACCCACCATGTAACCAGACCAAGATCTGGAGATACCACATTCTTGTGTCTGTTACAGGAAAGCAGAGCTCTTGGGAAATAGCGGCATCTACAAAGCAGAAGTCCCAAAGCACTAGGAATGGTGGGGATCTGGCCCCCTAAAGGATGAGATCACGCTCCTCTCCTTAGGTTATGGACCTAGAGCAGTGTGCGGATCCTAGGCAGAGCATACAACCCCTTCTCACTATCGGCCTTCAGCCTGTGCAGAACTGAAGCTTCCTGTAAACCAAAAGGCCACAAACCAGGGTCACTTTCTATATGGGAACGAAGTGCAAAGGGATTGTTTCAATAAACAGTGCTTTCGTGCATCTGCTGCAGGCTGGGAAAGCACTGAGCAGCAGCAACAGCATGTGAAACCTCTGACCAGTGTCTTGCTGCTTTCATGGCTGCTGTTCAGAAGAACCCTACAGGCAATAACTGGGTCAGCTCCCACTCGGAAATAAACACCCAGCAACAGTGAAGCGGGCACTGGAGAAGACTCTCCAATGCTACTGCCTTACCACAGACACTGCCTTCTGCAGCAGTCAGAAGGTGGGGAGAAATGGGGAAACCCTCTGCACTCCTTGCTGGCCAAAAGGTTTTGGGGACTAAGCCAAGGAGATCAGGGAACAAGACCACTCTCAAGCTTTCCAGTTGTTGGGAGACAGTTTGTGGGGAGGAAGCTTTGGAGTTAGCACACATCAACTATCCCCAAAAAGGATGGAGCACCCAGTCCCGGGTCAAAGGTCAGCAACCTGGTAAGAACCAGAGCATCTCCCTCTTTCCCGGAACTTTTTTTGTGAGGGGCAGGAGAGCAAAGGGAGACTTCTCACAAGGGCGGCGATGGCCTCCGGAGAGAGCTGGCTGGGAACTTGACAAACCCTCTTCACTGAAAAATGTCAGTTCCTTGACACTGAAACTGACCATGTTTCACTGCCAACCAGGTGACTCAAACCTTTTGGAAAGAGCTTCCAGATGGTCGGGATGGGGGGGGGGGGGGGGCCTCTGACGTTTCCA